ATCGAAAAAATGGTTTTAGAAAAAAAAAACATTGAGGTATCTCGATCAAAATAAAATCTGCAAAAAGCTACAATACATTAAGAACATATGTAGATTTATGATGAAAAAAATCTCACTAATACTGATTTTTGAGCATTTCATACTTATTATGAGTTGTCTAACGAGGGAAGGCCACCAACTGCCTCCTCGCTTTTGAGCTGAAACTCAGTTGACAATAGGTAATCGAACGTGCTGATTCCGAATATCACAATGGTTTTTGTCCACTTTCGATTTAAAGACTCGTTTTTAAAGATCTTGGTTTTTCAACCGAAAAACCATTTTCACTAAAAAAATGTTTTTGATCTGTCCAAATGAAAGAGCACGTCGTCAAACCTACAGAAAACAATTTTTCAAGATTCTAAGCGAGGTTTTGAGCGAGTTTTCTACGTCTAAGACTTAAAAAAAGAGGGAAAAGCCGCTAATATTCTTACACAATTTATGAAAGAAAAACTACTGTCTTTCTTTCTGTTCTGCTTTTTTACTTATTAAAGGCATTCAAAGAGGAGGGCTGCATGCATGTGTTAGACATGATATACATCATGATACATTCCAATTTCACAAGAATTTGGTATAAAGGAAAAACTGTGCACAAATAGCAGCTATAGAAAAATTTTCAAAGCATGTGAGATGCATAATTCAGTGCAAAGAACAGAGAACGAAAGAGAAATATTTATTAGAGCAGCAGTCTATAAAAATATGTGTAATTTTAACACTCTTATCGGAGTGTCAGAGTTATATAACGTTTGATACCAAGTTTTTACTCAAACTCGAAAAGTATCTGTCCATTTCGATAGATTTCATCACTCTTTTTCCGTAAATCAAAATGAATGCACAGAACATCGTTTCGGCTTTGAGTGATTCAATTCCAAATAATTTAACTGTTACACAACAGTCTCTGATTACATCACAGGAGCGACAAATGGCCGAACATCTAGCTAACACTGTTAAATTAATGGCCAGTGGACAAAAATTTGATTACGTTGAAGAAACAACTTTAGATTTCGGCCGTTATACCGACGATGAAGAGAGTGAAGAGGAGGAAGAATCCATGCTGGATGAGAAAGAAAGTGGAGAAATGGACGAAGATTGGAAGGACAAAGAATTAGCTTTAGAAAAATATAATTTAAGAAGCTTTTCAGAAGAGTTTATGCGTCAAGTTATCGATTTTGTTGATCACGCAGGTCGGGGAAGTAAACATGGAAGATCTTGGAAAGCCATTCATCACCGATTTCGAACAATCCCAGACAGAAGTTATATTCCACGTTTTCGAAAATATTTGGAACATCATGGAACAAAGCGACAAAAGACTCAAGATCTGGACAGTTTAGTTTACAAAAAGTTAGTTGATACAAGACAAAAGAATCTCGTCGTTCATGATTTGGATATCCAGCGGTGGAGTTTAAAGATATCTAAAGAAATAAAGCTCGACGATTTTCATGCTTCTCATGGTTGGCTGGAGAATTTCAAAGATCGTCATAGATTAACTTCTCTGAAAATTACAAACTTTGTTTCACACCATCAAGTCGAAAACCGGGAAGGTATAGAAAAATCAAAACAAAATTTTATTTTGGAGTTTAATAAAGTGTCATCTCACTTTAAGCCATCTGAAATTTTTAATACAGACCAAACAGGTGTCGAAAAAGAATTACACTCCACTCGTACTATCTCTTTCGTTGGTGAAAAGAGGACTTTTGCAGCTGTTCAGTCGAAAAATGTTACTACACATTCTTACACTTTACAGCCAACTATCTCATTAGACGGACGGCTCTTAGAAACGATTTATTTATGTTTGCAGGAGCAGGGAGGTGAGTTAAACGTTAGTCGAATCGTTTTAAACCGCTATCGCTCGTTTTTTTCCTTATCTTAGGAAAAATGGGAGAGCAAGTTAAGAGACAATTGTTTCAGCCGAAAAATGTCGTTATAACCAGTTTGGCGTCGGGAAAACTTATTACTTCATTGGTTGAATATTGGAGAGATAACTGTTTTCTTCCATTGGTTGGTGCTAAATGTTTGCTGCTATCAGACAGTTACCCAGGACAGAATCGTGAAGAACTCTATCAACCGGAAAATTGCGGTGGTAGAAAGGTCACACGTTTACAAATACCACAAAATACAACTGACGAGCTATAGCCATTGGATTGTTATTTCAACAGACAAATTAAAATTTTCCTCAAAGCATGTTATCATCGTGTAGCGTTGGATGAACTAGCTATACACTTACACGCACGAAATAACATCATACGTTTAGTCAGTCTAATGCACAATCAATTGAGCGCAGATGTATTCACGCCAATGATCAAATACGCTTGGTTCTCCAGTGACTTAACACGTGAAGATCCTTCTCCATTTGTCAACGTTAATCAAGTTTGCTTCGCAAGTGCAGGAACTCATATACAGTGTGAAGAAAAAGAGTGCGATGAATCTGTTTTTATAACTTGTGCTCGACGTTCGAAGAAATTGTGTTTTCAACACTTTTTAACCAGTTATCATTTCCATTAAAAACGCAGCAAATATTTTTACGAATCATGGCTCTGTGAAACTGCTTTATTGCCCCCTTTATCACAAATTGCTAATAACATGTGTGAAAAAACAGAACAGAAAGAAAAAGAGTAGTTTTTCTTTCATAAATTGTGTAAGAATATTAGCGGCTTTTCCCTCTTTTTTTAAGTTTTAGACGCAGAAAACTCGCTCAAAATCTCGCTTAGAACCTTGAAAAACTGTTTTCTGTAGGTTTGGCGACGTGCTCTTTCATTTGGACAGATCAAAAAAAAGTTTTTAGTGAAGATGGTTTTTCGGTTGAAAAACCAAGATCTTTAAAAACGAGTCTTTAAATCGAAAGTGGGCAAAAACCATTGTGATATTCGGAATCAGCACGTTCGATTACCTATTGTCAACTGAGTTTCAGCTCAAAAGCGAGGAGACAGTTAGCGGCCTTCCCTCGTTAGTGTCATCGAGAACTATATTTATCTATGATAGTAAGTCGAACGAACATCATCATTTATACATATCCATCATAATTTTGAAGAAACTCGAACAATTAAAATAGATGATTTATGAAAGTGTCCTGCAGTGGATTTAACACCATACTAGAGGAAAAAATCAATAAAAATATTCTTATTTTTATTTACTTTTTGATCAGATGATGTCTCGATGATCTTGAAAAACTTATCAGAGGTAGTCAACTTTAAAGACGAAGTTCACTGTATTTATACATCGAGTAAAAATTCCAAATACTTTTTTCGTACTTAAGTTAAAGTACAAGTACGTTTTTTTAAGTACAGGGTGTGTCAAAAGTTATTATACCGAAGAGAAAAACTGAATGTCTTCGCTATGATTTGCTCAAATGGGTTGATTTTGTCCTACCGAAAAAGAAGTGTTCGTAGGTCATATTCATAAGAAGAATATTCACAAAAACTCTTTTGAAGTGTTACTGTTGACTTCACTAAAGAACTGTAGCCTTCCACAAATTATGAAAAAACCATATTGCACTTTTCTCAATAAATTCTCAGTGTCTATGGTTGAAACTTCCAGAATACGATGAGTAACAAGACATATATCTATGGTACAAATTTCAGACCAAACAACAATATTGCGGAGAATTAATAAAATAAATTAGGTATAGTTTATTTTTGTCCTGGACAATAATTATATTGCTTTTGCATAATTCCGAAAGGTTACAGTACTTTATTGAAATGAACGATGATATTTCAAGGCAGAGTTTGTTAATTTTTTCTTTATGAACATGATGTATGAACACTACTTTATCAGTGGTAGAAGAATCAGCTCATTTGGTCAATATTTGGGGGAGATATTCAATTTTTTCTTCAATATAATAACTTTTGACCTACCCTGTACAAGTAGAATACTTTTATTTGCTATACTTGTACTCGTTCTATCTCTACTCTAGATATATAGTAATTAAGGTGATTGTAGGTGATAAACCGTTTGTAATATAATAACTGACTTAAAAGACCCTCTCTATTTGTGGTGCCATATTTGTCTGTTACGAAATGACAGTCATACATTAGCAAATCTAATGGTACCTCAATTCGTTCTTCATGCGAAACCAACGCATAGCACTTACGCGAATCGATAAGAATCACTTCCTATTGTAAAATATTTCAAAATATCGTATATGAAATACTTGCACAAAGAGCAAAGATGTAAAGTAAATGAGTAGTCAAATGAATGATATGGATTAAGATCTTCAGCAAGAAACAATCTAATCTGTATTCAGAGATTATTATGAACCAATCGCTTGTCATGCATACTCGCACTGTGAAGAATGCATAAGCATCAATATCCATTTCATATGTCGGCTTATCCACGCAACGCGTCACCTTCAATGCCGGTAGTTTGAAAAATCAGGTCTAAATATCACCAACATTATCCAATATAAAAAAAGAGAAAATGTATAAAAGCTATTTGAGGTTTTCAGAGCATGAGATCTAACTCGCATTTATTCACCATTGTGGATACGCTAATAGTAGAAAAAGGGTTTTATTTTTCCAATTTTCGTCATCACGTAACGTTAATGTGACCAACGTTTCACTATTAATGAGAGACCTTTTCGGAAAAAACTTTTTTCACATTAATACTCCAAAGTGTTTACTACAAATCTATTGTGAAATATTTTGTTCAAGATGATATACATTTGGAGAAAAACAAAGAACGAGTACAACACCCTCAAATTTTTGTCCCTTGTCCATCATCGTGTTACGCTGTATATTTTTGCTATGATTTTCAGAATGCTTTGCTAAATAAACTCAAATCTACCGGATTTCAAGAGTACATAAGGAGACATATCTTCTGACGAAAAAATCAAATATTCTAAATGATTTTGTTGCTGAGGAAATTTGGACACACAGCGGACAAAACGTCATCGCGTTACGCTTTGACAAGCCGATCTACATCTGCATCCAAGAAATAATATGTTGAGAAAAAAAAACATCAAGAAAATGTCATAAACGAGCAGCTATAGTTGAAATTTTCCTAAAGAAAAATAATGAATTCACAGGAGGCAATTGAATACTGCCTGTCATCGAAACAATAAAGAAAGCGAAAAATAGAAACTACAATTCGAAATTAAAATAACAAGAAAAATTATTCGCGATTTTCTATAATAATCGAAGACCAAAATTGTGGAACACGATGTCAAAGATATATCCGTATGAAAGCGTCAATGCTATGACGGCAAATAGGACAAGATCGAAGAGAATGGCCACATGGTACACACGTACACAAATGACCACAGGGTATGCATGCCAGACGCTTTTCTGCTTCCAAACACAACACGCAACGATTTGTCGGTAATGAACTATTTCCATCACTTTGATCAAAGTTTCCTGTTCTTTGTGACTTGTTATCTTGTTGTTTCTCTTCCATAATGTCAGAGAATCTTGAAGTTGCACTACTCCGAACTGGTTCTGATGACGATATTGTCATTTCAACATCGCTTCCGACCGATGAATTTGTTGACGACAACTCTGATGATGGTCGTTCATGAACATGAGTTTCTGAAATGATGTTCATACAAACATCCTTACTTATTTTACTTCTTGATAAATTACCTGCTTGATTTCTCTCTCGAATCTTCGCCATAGCCATACTTGGCACAATTATGTTTTCTTTCTTACCATCTATATGTTCTATTTGTTTCTGCAAGATTGTACAAGCCATGAATAGATCACAGTCGCTCACAAAATCTTCATCTAAAATACAAGTTAAAATGTACTTTCGTTTCTCTTCTTCTAAACACAAAAACAATAGCTGACCTACGTTTTAACCGAAGTTGATCCTCCCAACATCTTTTGATGATTGAGAGTTTGAAATTACGATTAAGTAGACTTTGGGAAATTGACAGATCAAGTCGAGCAGCTACAAGCCTCGATAAAGTGCTTTCATCCGGTATCAAAAGATGTCCATTGCTTGAGCTACCACCACTCGTTCCGGATTGATTGTTTGCATCGTTAGCTTTCATCTTTTCTAGACAAAGAACAACAGATACATCATTTACACTTGTTTCAATAAGTAAACAAAAAACCTTGTTGAATTTGTTTTGATTCTTGAATCTTTCGATACAATTCACTATCACACAATTGTTTCGCATATGCACAATGTGGAAACCAACGAACATGTTCTATCATTGGATTATCATTAGAACTCCAGTTTTGTAAAGAACCATTGCAATAAAAACAAGTCACAATAGTTTTAGTACCAGTATAAAAGAATCCAGCTTTGACTAGATCATCAATAGATGGTAAATTCTCATTTGACCAAGTGACAAAAGATGCATGTCGTTTTGGTATTTCAATATATCCTGTATTACAAGCTGTAGTATAAACAATTGCATTACATCGAAATGGATCGATACTAGTTGAGGCTAATGATTGATCAGTGTGACAATGTTCATTGATGACCAAAATGGATGATGTTTGAGAACGAGTCAACATAGCAATAACATAAGGACATTTGGGTGAAAGTATTTTATGTATTTCACATGGATTGTCATTATTTGGTGTCCATTGTTGACAAATAATATTGCAATAAATATATATGACACGATCACCCAGTCAGACAAAAATTTCGAAAAACGCGTTTAAACGCACAATCGGGAACCGCGACTGTGATCCATTCACGCTCATTAAAAAAACGCACGAAAACATGTTTATTGGCGTTTTTTGTAACTTTCTGGGCGTCAAAACGGCGGAAATTCCAGTTTTTGAGCGTTAAAACGTACTATTATTCTAGAACTTAAAAATAATACGTTTTAACGCTCAAAAACTGGAATTTTCGTCGTTTTGATGCTCAAAATGTTACAAAAAATGCCAATAAACACGTTTTCGTGCGTTTTTTTAATGAGCGTGAATGGATCACAGTCGCGGTTCCCGATTGTGCGTTTAAACGCGTTTTTCGAAATTTTTGTCTGACTGGGTTTTCTTCAGGGAAATTTGCGTGTTGATAGTCGAGAGAATCATCACTACTTATATCCATTATTTAAACAGATTTTTCATGTTAATTATCCTAATGGTAAACTCGCTTTTATTAATATTCCCTTTGGTGTTGCTGCATTTCCATTTGCTGAAATTCAATCGCATTTTATAGGACGCGTGTTACGTGGTGAAGTTCAATTACCGATAAAAGATGTGATGATGTCCGAAGTTGACAATCCATTATTACCACAGAATAGAAGATATCATTTCGTAAATATGATTGAATGTTGTTCGAACATTGTTGGAAATGATGAAACAAAGTGACAAAAACTATAGTTATATATTTACAATTGATGATGAACGACGATTTCATAAAATAATCAAAGAATAATATCGGACAAATATATTTATTCTTTTTCATTGTGTCATTTTTAACTTTCTTGTTAATTTTGATATTGTTTCTTTCGTATTCTGCGAATGAATCATGTGCTATTTTTTTCCTTACTGCATACATACGGAAATGTTGATACAAAATTGCAGCTTCACGAAATATCGACAAGGCACATAGGACGTTTGTAAGCATTCGTCAGGATATTATCATGTCTGATGCTCGACTTCATTTTATTCAACACCCTACACTACTTTTTTGGAGATCATTATTACATAAACTGTTATAACTGCGTTTTTTAGAGTTTCTAAAAATTCAGAACAATACTGCCACCTTTTAAAGTCTGAAAAGCAGAAAAAAAACAGAAAGTATATTTTTCTCTTTGTCTTTTCCTTGAATAGTTTCTTTCTATTAAGAAAAGAGAGGAAAAAATATGAACAAGAAATAGACATGCAAGCCATCGGTCGATTTTTGCTGAAGCAATGTATTTCCAAAACGATGATTCATACTTGTAACAAGAACCGTTTTGAAGAAAAAAGAGGCTGTGCCAAGAAAGTCATTATTAAATTAAAGAACGAATGTCCCTGTAGGTGTAATGCGTAACTGTTTTCATTCTTGGGATTTATGATTGACTGTGGTAATATTGATTGATCAACTTGCGTGCTATAAAGTTCTTGTATACTCGGCTAATCGAATTGTTCTTTTCTTTTCAAATTTTTTCAAATTTCTGTTCATCATTTCATTTAATGTTGATGATAATTTAATGATTCTCTTCTTAGTTTTAGCTTTAATATTATCGATTCGCAAAAATATGTGTTCAAATTTACTTTCTAATTGTGTCAATCGATCTGCAGCAACCTTTCTCTCGATATTGTACCTAATATACTTTTTTTCTTTTAATTCTAAGGTTGAACAGAGTTACTACTTTGAAAAAAGTTCGAACAACACAGGGCCGTAATGATTTATTTACTAATAAATCAAGAAATTAAATAACGACATTTTGTTTGTAAAGATTACATCGCATACAGTATAAACATAGAAAGTACGCACAATACAATAATAGGTACACATACAACCCGAGTAGTGCCTGTCTCTCACTGCCAAGTGAATGGAACTCACTGATATTTAAAAAAAAGGCCGAAAGAAAAAAAAAGAAACTGTTACGCATTACATCCTCAAGTATAGATGGTGTCATTCAAAAGGATATTCGTTAATTGTTCTAAGTCCACTTTGACTTGTTATATCAGCGTAATATGATCCTTGGTATCATATTTAAGAAAAAGGACATTCGTTATTTTCTGCATTTCCACTAATCTCGCTTTAATTTAATAAGGATTCCCTTGGCATAGAGGTGTAAAGAAACGTCAGTGAGGCATTTTTTTAGCATTAATAGGAATTAGCAAGCACTTTAAAACTGTCAAGACAAGGCCTTGCAACAAACCTGTCTTCTAGATTTTGGCAAGTACATACCGTTCCAATATGAAGACAGATAGCTTATAGTAAATCATCAGCCGTTCGAAGAATCCAAAGAAGTTTCTGCTATTATCCGCATGAGATATGCGTATATTCGACTCATCTAGGTATTATCAACAAGTATCTTAAATATGGCCCGAATAACCCTATGTTTCATATAGACCAGACTGAGAATTCATTATCAGCCCATGTTGTGTACAAGATTTCAACCAATCAGATTTCACCTAGGAACTGTTTCTGATATTATCCATATGAAACATAATGTCCTTCGGATCATATTCAAGAGACATCATGATAACCTTGAAATGGCTCGACGATGTCCACATGTCATTCAGACGATTACGGAAAAAAGCATTGCTAAAGTCTGATTGGCTGAAAACTTGTACGTGACATGGGCTGATAATGAATTCTCAGTCTGGTCTATATGAAACATAGGGTTATTCGGGCCATATTTAAGATACTTCTTGATAATATCTAAATGAGTCGAATATGCGCATGTCTCATGCGGATAATAACAGAAACTTCTTTGGATTCCTCGAACGGCTAATGATTCACTATAAGCTATCTGTCTTCATACTGGAATGATATGTACTTGCCAAAATCTAGAAGACAGGTTTGTTGTAAGGTCTTGTCTTGGCAGTTTTGAAGCGCTTGCCAATTCCTATTGATGCTAAAACAATGGTTCCGGTTCTGAGACATATAACAAAGAACGAAGGTACATATGATTTTGATAAAGCCTATATATCAGCCTATTTTATGAAGTGTCGAAGTACGGCAAAAGTTTGACAGATCAAGCTGAAATTTACAGGAGTGACTACTAACTCTGATCTCTACAATTGCTGAAAATTTCACGCGAAACGGCCTTTATTTTCAAGTAGGCCAAAATCCCAAGAAAACGATTCTTGTATTTTATCTGAAAAATAACGAAAAAAACAACAAAAGTATGACATGAAGAACTTTCAACTAAACTGATGAAAAACAAAAATGTGTAGAATTATGAACTCGATTTTGAAAGAATAAATTGCTGTTTAAATTTACAGATACAATTAATACGTCGACTAATTTTCATACAACGTTCGTTGATTAGACAAATCATGAGTGGAATTAATTTTTCTTGGTCATTCGATGAATCTAATGTTAAGAAGATTTTGTTGATATCATCATCATATTTCTTTTCATATTCTTGTTGTTAATCTTCAGCTAATTTCATATTAACATCAAATAGAGTAGTTCTTGATTGTTCGACAATTTCTTTGAATTGTTGAAATAAAGCTTGTCGAATAGCTACATTTTCAAAAGAATGAATGAAACATGAGCTAGTCGTGATGAAGACTCAAACGGTTGACGTGATGAATTAAAATTAACAAAACAAAAATATCAATTATTAAAACA